TTGTATAATCCCAGGAAGACCAAAGGGAAATCTCCTAAGCTGTCTTCTCCATGGGAAGGCCCATATGACATAGTGGATCGTATCTCAGACGTGACTTTCCGAATAAAATGTGGTTGTTGAGGTAAGGCAAAGGTGGTGCATGCCAACAGGCTTTGGCGTTATCACGGTCCAGGACATTTCAGTTGGAACAAAGTGAACAATGGAACAAATGGTGCTGATGAAGATGTGTCACCTGAAAAAGCCACTGTCGAAGAAGAAACACTACCCGGTTTTGAGAAGGAAAACAGTGAGGCCATTAATGAAGTTACTACTACTGATGTGACTGTTACCAATAATGGAACATTTCCTGTTGGAGCAGATGAACCCCATGTGAAGCAGAAGGAATGAGACGGAGACCAGTACGGAATAAGATACTTCCTGTAAAATTAAGAGACTTTGTTGTATCTTAATTTTGTGTTTGTAAATTCTGTACATTTAATTAAGTTATTGTTAATTATCTATTGGTTAAATGTAAGTGGCTATTTTTCAGGATGAAGTTGTTATGCTTGAGGATCAATATACAATTTTCCAACCATCATCTTATATACACTATGAAACATGGTGCCTGTCCAAGCATTTGTCTGTCTTCCATTTATGGAAGCCACTTCCCACGATGCATTTGAAAAGCTGTGCACACAGGCAAAGCTCAACATTCACTTTCAAAATGATGGGAGAACAGACATGAATATTGTTGATGCCAAATCTTGTTTTGCAAACAGGATATTCTACACTATATTCACTATCATTCACATTTCAAAATATGGCATAACTTAAAGAATAAAAATGTAGATTTAATGTATGTTATTGTTGAGCAGCTCTTGGCAGGACTGAAATGATCAACAATTACTTTTGAAGTAGCTCAGAGATTTGGCTCCGAGTGAAACCAAGGGTGCAACATAATTAACCTTTGTGTAGTCCATGAAATAATTTAAATTGATAGATTAACTTAAACTTTTCCCATCACTGGGGATGGGTACTTTTGCTTGTTTTTCATAAATACAACTACATTTTTCACTGTACACAGATGAATTGTAACACAAGACATTTTTTGTTTCTTGCATTATATTTCATTGGTTAATTATATAACATTTACTCTTTAATTGCCAAATTTCTAAAATGGTTTTCTTGTTTAAATTAATGTTGATAGGGATGTAAGTATTAAATTTTGCTGATGACAACTTTTGGGTATTTCTTAATTATATTAAGGATGTTGACACAAGTTTGACTTGGGTCACTTGGTAAGTTGGTAGAATGGTTCCAGGGATGGTTTACCTTATGAGGATCTTTTGAGGTAACTTATTTTCTGTTAAGAAAAAAAGGTAACAGGTGGTCTTACTGAAGTTTTCAAGATTATCCAGGAGATGAAGATGATAAAGGTCAATGATTTCTTTTTGCTGTTTTCTGAAAGCAACTGAAGAAAAGAACACAAGTTTAAAACAGGCTAGACTGTTAAGACAGTTGAATTTTTCTAAAAGAGGTTATTAGCTTATGGAAAGAGTTGCCATTAGCAGTAGTTAGTATAAACTGGTATCTTTTCAGAATTCAAAAGGGGAATAGATGGTTTAAATTTTTACTTTTATCAAGAGTGAGTGTGAAGGGACAGTCTCGAAGGACAACATGGACTTAAATGTTATGTTCATTGCTGTACCAGTACACTGTAGACCACAAAAGCTAACCATGTCTGTCTTTGGAAGACCAAACTGTTCCAGTCAACATTGTTATTGGTTATTGCATATCTCATCTAACTAAAATGTTTAAGCATCACTTACTGTTACTTACATTTTTTTTTGAAATTATCTTTTTCCTACTAATGTGGTAACCATAGTGGTAAATAAAATGCTTTAATACTAACATTTTATTTTATTCATTTGATGTTAAATGTTAAGGTTTGATTTCTTATTATCTTGAATTTCATAATGGAAGAAAATGCTCCCAACAACTCGGTGGTGAGTCTGAAGGCTTATAACTTTTAAAAACTAGGTTTCAATACCCATGGTGAGCACAGCATATATTGTGCAATATATATATTGTGTAACTTTGTGCTTACCAACAGAACAAATAAACAAACAAAGCCATTTTGAAATTTTAAGAAAAATTCTGAATTCAAACCTGAAGAATTATTTAGAATTATATATGTTATAGTGTTGAACCAATATTTTTTTTTTATTTGTTTTACACTAATAATCTAGCATTACTTTCCAAGTAGTCACTCATGCAATAGTCACACTGGCTATTGAAACTGTACATGGTAAATGAGTAAGAAAAATATTCACTTCACTTGCAGTAATATCTTGTTGACTAGTAAGTGCTTAAATTTAGACTCTTGTCCATTAATTTAAAAATGGGAACCGCAGTAGTATCGTCATCTAGAATTTTCTCGTACTCGTTTTCTGAAAAACTAACGGTCAAAATCTTCAATTCCATCTACAGATTTCTTGAAAGAATTTGTTAATCATTTATTAACTTTTATTCTTAATCTTTTGCTCGGATTGAACTTTCAAAATGAATATCCTATTTTTGTCTGTTTGGCTAACTAGTAAGAACTTAGCAAACCTAATTTTTGGTTCCTTATTATTTTTTATGTCGTGCTACAAACCTATTGAAGTGATGAAATAATTAATAATTTTTAATAAATCCCATACTACGACACATGCTTCATGTATGTAATGGTCATTGACCTCAAAAAGACACTTGAAACTCAAAAAGATTATTTAAACCTTTTCTAATAATGTTTAAAATGAATGTTATTTGCCTCAGTCTTTTGTCTTATCTCTAAAATTGGCTTTCAGCATAATTAGTGATACAGTTCTTATCCTATGTTTGATATCCATACTACTATTTCAAAAATAGGATTTTTTTTCTTGTAGTCTTTATGATAAGTCTGAAAATGCTTGTATTTCTGTTTTCAGAACAAGAAAAAGTGCCTCCTCGTCCCTCAGAATAACCGATCAAAATCATTTTAAATACTTTTCACTTCTGTATATTTGTGTGTGTGTATGTTAAATAGTTTCAAAAATTCAAACCAACAGCACCCACAGAAAGATAGTCTAACTACCCTAAACAACTGTACATTTCACTTTGAGTAAGATGTTTAATGAAGTAACTCATTTATGCGACTCCTTCTTGCAGTAAGGGAATCACAGTTGCACACAGTAATCCAGATGTCTATGTACAGTTACATAAAAAGTAACCTAACCTAACTCTGTCTCATAACTTTACCCTTATCAACATTAAAATTGATTTTCCATGTTCTGGTCTGATCACAAGTGTTGTCAAAGGTCATATATATATGTTAGTAGTACTTTCCCAACATGGCCCATTCATAGTCACTCCTTTGGTCTTCTACAACTCAATTTTTTATCTATTAGCTTTAACAATTTTTTGTAAATTCCATAAGTATCCAATTTAATCTCAGCATCACATAACACTATGAAAAAAGAATAAATGATTAGGGTACATTTCTTTTATTATATTAGTTTGCTTAAAAAACTGTAGGATTTGTGTATTTAGGCTTAATGTGCATTTATTTGAATTAATCTAGCATGTTAAAATTGCTCTTTTTCTTTCCAGAACAAAAATGTTTTTGCTTGATTGGATGACAAACATTCTTAGTTTCCTAGGTAAGTTACCAAAATGTTTTAATTGATTTAAGTCTTTTTAAAAAACACTTCACTACATAGAAATATAATAAGAATTGGTTCACCTACTGATTTAATAATTTATAAATTCAATTATTTTTTTTAATGTTTGGCAAATTATTTAATGTGTGTAGTTGCTATAAATTAAATTTATTTGTAAATTAACCTGAATAAATTACATTCAGTGTGGTGGGGCTGTTTTATATGGTTATTTTGATGTGTATGGCTAATCGCATGTTTTTTAAGGAAACTTGCAAATGATATACTTGTATATTTCCAAGTACTTTGAAAATTAAATTTGCATGTCTAGTAAGATTTTCAGACCATATGGGTATGAATATAACAGTTGCCAAATATTTTTTCATCGTATGTGAACTTGATATGTAACAAATGTTTACCAGTTTCTTTAAAATATCAATTTGAAAAACAGGTCTATGGAAAAAAAGTGGAAAGCTCCTATTTCTTGGTTTAGACAATGCTGGTAAAACGACACTACTGCACATGCTCAAGGATGACAGAATGGCTCAGCACGTGCCCACTCTTCATCCAAGTACAGTATATTCAATTATCTATCTTTAAAAACATTTGACTTTTAACTTGGGTATAACTAGGAAGAGTTAAGTGCTATCTTGTATTCATGACATTATTAAATATTTTTCTTCTTTTTTATAAATACATCCTTGAAATTTGTCTTCATTTATATGAAATTATAGTGTCAAAGAAACTGAAAAGTTATTTTCTACAAAATTATAAGTATTAATGTATTATTGGCCATTGTCTTTTTCAGCTTCTGAAGAATTATGTATAGGAAATATGAAATTTACAACGTTTGACTTGGGAGGTCATCATCAAGGTAGCTTTCAGTGCTTACAAATGATTTTCTAAGGGTGTGTGTACATGTTCATGCATGTACACACAAAATCACTCACTCACTCATTTACTTAATAACTAGTATCTAATTCAGTGGTTCCCAACCTTTTCACCACCAAGGACCCCTTTTATTTTTTTTCCTCACAGATACCATTCTGTGTCCTTCCGTGCATTATTTAATTAAAGAAAATAGCTCCTGAACCCCCAGTATTACCTTTGCAGACCCCAAGTTAGGAACCACTGATCTAATTATTTAGTTATTCCCACCACATTATAATTTCGCCTTAGTGCTAGTATTTCAAATAGTTTTTATTAAAGAAAAATTGGCCTGATAGATATTCATTTTCTATGTAGCATCCATATATGGTTTGTCCACTATATATGGATGTTCCTAAGATAATAGTTTGCTTGTCCGTTTAAGGTTCAGCCATCTCTCATAATATGCATGGTTATACACCTTAATTACTTGATTTTTAACCTTAATTGTTTTCTTAAAAGACTGTAGATGATTTTATATATATATATATAAATTTAAGTTTTTACTACAACAATTAAATTATATGGAGCCATGTTAAAAATGAATCTTGCATAGCCATTTTATTCACCTTTAATAGATACATGTGCAGTGTTATACATAGACAACAGTTATGTACAAAAAATCTTTAAAAGCATATTCTCTAAACAATTAATTAATTTCAATTAGCTTTTAATCAATACATTACATAAAATAATTTTTGTTAAATTTTGTATTTTTATTAACATTTACATGTAAAAATTCTGAACTCACCATGATAAAAATATTTTAAATGGCTTAGTATATTTATGGTTTGAAACCGTTAAAAAAAAATCACATTTG